AAGGACAGCCACACGAGCAAAGAAATTAGAGGGCCTCTGAAATGGACCTCAGAGGTCACTCAGGAGAGCATGGTGTGGTATAATGGCCTGGCGCTTGGCCTCAATTTTTGTCAAATCTAAAAGTTAATCCCAGCTGTGGAACACTCTGTAGGATCACCTGAGGTCTTAGGTACAACTTCATGTGGATCAACTCTCTCTGCCCAACCCTGCCTTCCTCACTTCCTTACAGCTGTGTCTCCTGAATCATTCTCCAATAAACCTGCATGCAGCATAGGTTTCCAGGGAACATGATCTAAGAGACTGTGTTGAAAGAAGACTAATCTAGCAGTAGAATGTAGAGGAATGTGAAAGAAGGGACATATAATCAGAAGGGCCCAGAAACAAACCTATTCCAAGAACCATCACTACTTTATAACTGAATAGGATAACAGCAATGAAGCTGAAAAGGCACACATTGAAGTGGTAGCCATTTTGATGAAAACTCTACAAACATGTTGAGAGATGTCTTGTGAGGAGGGTCTAACATGACCCTGGCACATCAACCTGAGAAACTGATATCTTTCAGTTAATGAAAACAATGTTAACCCTGAAGGCAATGGGATACTTGGTCTGGAGCATTCAAAACAGAGTTCGGTTTGGTCATGGTTTAGTTGGAGACAGCAGCACCACATGCAACTAGAGTTGTAGGAAGTTTTCTGAAATTTGGGGCTAAATCAGTCAAGGTTAGAGATGTGGGCTGGAAATCAGCACAAAGAGGTGAAAACTTGTTCCATAAGGTTAGATGCATGTACTAGTCTGTTTTCACACTGCTATAAAGAACTATATTAGACTGGGTAATTTATAAAGAGAAGAAGTTTAATTGACTCACAGTTCCACACAGCTGGGGAGGCTTCAGGAAACTTACAGTCACAGCAGAAGGTGAAGGAGAAGCAAGGCATATCTTACATGGTGGCAGAAGAGACAGAGCAAGGCAGGGAAATGTCACACTTTTAAACCAAAAGCTCTCATAAGAAGTCACTCATTATCACAAGAAGAGCAAGGGAGAAATCCACTCCATGATCCAATCATCTCCCACCAGACCCCTCCTCTGATACGTGGGGATTACAATTTGAGATGAGATTTGGGTGGGGACATAGAGCCAACCCACATCAATGCACTCTCATGAGGAGGTAAAGAAAATCAAGGTTATGGATTGGTGGGATGCCCAAGGAAGCAGAAAGAGGGGAAAACCTTCTTAGAGAAGAGAAAGGACTTCAAGATGCCATATTTAGCAAATAAAAATACAGGATACCCAGTTAAATGCTGCCAGGGTCATACTTATACTAAAAAAATTATTAACTTCTTATATGAAATTCAAATTTAAATGGGCATACAAAATCTAATCTGGCAACCCTTGGAACTTCAAATACAAAAAAGTGGGGGTGGGGATGCAAAAACCTCAGGAACGTGTGGCATAATGAAACTACGGAAAGAGACAATTGTTCAGTGGTAGTAGCAAATGGTGTCAAATGACAAAATGATGTTAAGGATCACCAAAAATTTGGAAAGGTCACTGATAACCTTTAAAACATTCTAGTATTTATTTGAACAATTCTACAGACAATTAATTCCTAGGCTTGAATTACTGTTACTTTCTTAACTTATTGAGTCCTGATTAAATTATTTTACCAAAATTGTCTAAAAGATGATAACTCTGTTGCCCATTCAGAGAAAAGGAAATGTTAAGTACTGCAAATCCTCCTCTTCCTACTGGAGGAAGGTTAACATTTCTCACAAAACTGAAAGCTATCAAAAAACTGGTTTTCTACATTAATATATGCATTTTTACATGACCATTTAAAATCTTCAAGAAATGTCTTCTCTCTTTTCTCTAAAGAATACAAATTGCTTAGGGTCATTCCATGAACTCAATCGGGCCTACAGTAATTAAAAAGAACACAATTTTCTACATGTTTCTTTCCATGAAATTTAAAAAAAAATCTCCAAAGGGAAATGTAAAACACAAATTGCAGTTAGTAAACATGAGTTACCTAAAATAGGCATTTCATTTGCAGAAATGTGTCAATGTGCATATTTATGTGCATGTAAACAGAAAGGAACTGTAACCTGGAAATATTAGCATTAAAGAACACTTGCTAGATACCTTCTGGATCACATATGCATAACAAATTATGTCAGTTACTTCACTGTAAACAAAGAAAAATACACATTCTTCATTCAAAAAGTCTAGAGGTTTGAAAATTTCAGTTCTTGACTGTCATCTCAAATCTGCTTTTGTATTATACTTCATCTCTGAAATAGAAAAGGCTATGTATTGCTCTCCAATGACACATAAAGTTTCCAGTAACAACTCCACGCACAGACCACAACAATATAACACTGTACTTAAAGAATTTGTCTAGATGCTTTATGAAGCCCAAAAGCAATACACGGGTTTATCAAATCACTAAAAAAAAATGCCCATATATTTCTCAAGTCATATTTTTACTCCAAATACAGCAAATATGTATAATATTATGGCAGCAAATAAAAAGTTTCAGTAACAAATTTTATATACATATATGTATACACACACACACAGAGAAAATATTGGTCATTTGCTCTTTGTGGGTTTTAAGACTTTGTTTTATGGAAAACATTTCAGATTAATGAATGTTTTACTTAAAGAAGGCAGGACTTCCTATTAAACACTGCAAATTCAATGCCAGTAATTTTCCATAACATACATAAATTTCAAAGTTGAGAGGAAATTATTCCTAATAAACCAAATTTACTATCACTCATTGCTTATTCAGAATATTTTTGACTTCATTTTTAATAGTTTCAGTAAATCTGAAATTATAATAGCATGGGCTTATTGGCCAAGTATTTTCCATAAGCTATTAGTGAGGCAGAAATCTTCTGGGAATATAAGAAGTATCTAGAAGTACAGTTATTCAAGTTGTAGCTAAACTGCCAGTGATTCCCCAATTCTGAAAACATTTAAGCATCCATACGTAAACAAATGTGTGTGGTTGACAGTTGAACTTTCATGTTTTCTCATTTTCAGTTTGATTTAGCTCTCCCGATAAGGTAACAACTTAAAAATATTTTCTTTTGCACTAATTTTTCCATCACGTGTGATGTAAATAAGTTCCACTATATTAATTGCCTATGAAACAGCAAAATGTTTAATATCTGGTTAATCCATTTTTCCAGGATTTAATTGGTTATGTGTGAATCACTGCCAGACAAGTTTTGATTGTTTTCTAACACATTCACAGTTATGCTAGAGAGGACTGTGTGCATTTGACTAAGAAAGGAAATCTGCAGCAGGAGTTGGGGTACTGGTCTGCAGCTCTGGCCAATCAACTAGCAAATCACTTTAGAGTTAAGTCTTAACCTCTATAATCCTGCCTCTGGGAAGTGGCACTTCCTAGTGTTAACAGCTGTGCTTCAAAAGTCAGATGGACTTAGGTATGATTCTGTCTGATAATCAATTCTGTGGGTTTACAGTCTGCTGGTTAGAAAGGGTAGATGGTGGGAGATTGGTTCTCTTACCCACCATGAACCATCTGGAATAACCCAAATGTGTTAACATAAAACAGGCAGAGGAGAAGAGCTACTCCAGATCCAAATAAACCTTGGAAGTCCCTGAGAGAGTAGAAATGTTGAACTGCTTCCTAATGGCTTACAATCTTACAATTTAATTAAAGGCATTTAGAAAGTAACAACAGAGACAACCACTTACTAAGTGACTACTATGCATTTAGAACTTTAAAAAAATATTACACAGGTCATTCTAAATAAGTCAGCTCCACCAATCTACTGTTCATCATAGAAACTGGATCAATTCTTAAAACAAACAAACAAAAAACCCTGCAGAAAAACTAATCTCAGTCTCTATTAAGAAAATTTTATAATCCTAAATACTTTTGTGAAACCAAGTTAGCATCATTAAAACTGACCCCTGCTGCTGATTCCTGCCCATTCCAGTCTGAAACTTTAGGACAAAAAGGAAAGAGTGTCAAGCTCACAGATAACAGAACCACTGCCAAGTTCTGGCTTATTATTTTCTTTAATTGTTTTTCTTGGGTCCTGTTCAAGTTGCTAGGGTTTTTAAAAGTACGATTATCAATTCGATTCTTACGGGTATACTCAGGGACTTGACTGAAATGGCACGTGTCCAAAATATATAAATGACCCATACTAAAATTTCCCTTAACTCTCTACTTCTACACTTTTCCCATAATATACTATATGGCACATTTTTCCCACATATGCTATTAATTTTCCTTTTATAAAATTAAAATAGGAATTATCTGATGGTCTTTTGAAGAGTTCCACCACATTCCAAAATGTCAGGAGAAAATATAAAATACATAGAGATCTGAATGATGTGGGTTTTTTTTGGCGCTTCACACCAAGATCAGATATAATCTGCGGTGAGAGCTGTATTTTAAAGAAGTGATTCACTGCCAGATCTCTGAACATCTTCTCTACATTGATGACTCACACGACTTTCACTCCTGATCTTGGTAGTTCAAACTACCTACTCTCTCTAGGACTCAGTTGTTCTCTTGTAAAATGGTGGGAACAGATTATATCACTAATGCTCTTTTCAGCTTTTATATCCTCAGATTCAGTGATTTACTGGGATAAATGGTTATCACCTCAGTTTCCGTACATATCACATGAATTCAGTCACTTTGGACCCAAAACTGTAGCCACTTCTGACTTCCCTGTTTCTGTATGCAGTCCTATCAACCTCAAACTCACCCTCGCTGAAGATACTCAAATCTTTCTCAGAATTTACTAATATCCCTGAACTGGACAGTCTTCAATATCTTGTTCTATCTCCTCTTTCCCAGGATGACATTTTCTTACAGATCCCTGGGTCTCCTGACCTATCATCTCAAATGCCCTGGCAACATTAATGATCCAGTGTCAATAATTAAACTCATGCCCAAAGAACAAAAGGAATAGTAACAAACAACAAGTATAAAGAAAATAAGTCTTGATGGCCAGTCCTGGTGTCTGAGTGATTCCCAGGGCCCAGCAAAGGGACCAAGTCTCCAGAGCCCTGAAGACAAGGGGTAACACACCAAAATATGGACTCATTTTCCACTCCACCTTCATTGGCCGAGCAGCTGCCAAGAACAAAGGCCGCATCTCCTGATACCTGGCAAACAAATGCAGTACTGCCTCACGAATCGATTGCTTCTCTGAGGTGCCCACGAGTGTATTTGGGGAGAAGCTTCGAGAACAAGTTGAAGAGCGACTGTCCTTCTATGAGACTGGAGAGATACCACGAAAGAATCTGGATGTCATGAAGGAAGCAATGGTTCAGGCAGAGGAAGTGGCTGCTGAGATTACTAGGAAGCTGGAGAAACAGAAGAAACGCTTAAAGAAGGAAAAGAAACGGCTGGCTGCACTTGCCCTCGCATCTTCAGAAAACAGCAGTAGTACTCCAGAGGAGTGTGAGGAGACGAGTGAAAAACCCAAAAAGAAGAAAAACCAAAAGCCCCAGGAGGTTCCTCAGGAGAATGGAATGGAAGACCCATCTATCTCTTTCTCCAAACCCAAGAAAAAGAAATCTTTTTCCAAGGAGGAGTTGATGAGTAGTGATCTTGAAGAGACCGCTGGCAGCACCAGTCTTCCCAAGAGGAAGAAGTCTTCACCCAAGGAGGAAACAGTTAATGACCCCAAAAAGGCAGGCCACAGAAGTGGCTCCAAGAAAAAGAGGAAATTCTCCAAAGAGGAGCCAATCAGCAGTGGGCCTGAAGAGGCAGCTGGCAAGAGCAGCTCCAAGAAGAAGAAAAAGTTCCATAAAGCATCCCAGGAAGATCAGAATGCAAACGGACATTCTCTGGGAGGTGGGACATACCATAGCCCAAGGTGACATCTTCCACCCTGTGCCCTGTTCTCCAATAAAAACAAATTCACCAAAAAAAAAAAAAAAGAAAGAAAATAAGTCCTAGAAACTGGCACTGCATAGAACAATACCCAGATTATCTTTTTGTTAGAATAACAGTGAACACCTTAGCAGCTAGAGTTTTCATTAGAAAACTTTCAGGAGCAACCCACACACCCTACTAGCAAGAGATTTAATTCTCTCTATGCCAGCAAAACTGGTGGTGGTGTTGGGTGGTGCGGAGTGGAAGTACTAGTCCTACTCCAGCCAGCTGCCCTAACAGTTATGTCTTCCTCTGTTTATTTATGCTTATAGGAATTCTACCTGCGTTCGAAGCCTCAGTCCAAATCCCATTTCTTCCATGACCACACCAGTGATCTCTAACTCTTTTCATTCAGAAACCACTATGGCCCTTTTTTCTTTTTTTTTAAGTTCTGGGATACATGTGCAGAACATGCAAGTTTGTTCCATAGGTATACATGTGCCATGGTGGTTTGCCACACCTATCAACCTGTTATCTAGGTTTTAAGCCCCACATACATTAGGTGTTTGTCCTGATTCTCTCCCTCCCCTTGCCCCGCATCCCCCGAAAGGCCCCAGTGTGTGAAGTTCCTCTCCCTGTGTCCATGTGTTCTCATTGTTCAACTCCCAGTTATCAGCGAGAACATGCAGTGTTTGGTTTTCTGTTCCCGTGTTAGTTTGCTGAGAATGGTGGCTTCCAGCTTCATCCTTGTCCCTGCAAAGGACATGAACTCATTCTTTTTTATGGCTGCATAGTATTGCATGGTATATATGTGCCACATTTTCTTTATCCAGTCTATCACTGATGGGCATTTGGGTTGGTTCTAAGTCTTTGCTATTGTGAATAGTGCCACAATAAACATCTGTGTGTATGTGTCTTTATAGTAGAATGATTTATAATCCTTTGGGTATATATCCAGTAATGGGATTGCTGGGTCAAATGGTATATCTGGTTCTAGGTCCTTTAGGAATTGCCATACTGTCTTCCAGAATGGTTGAACTCATTTACATTCCCACCAACAGCATAAAAGTGTTCCTATTTCTCCACAGCCTCATCAGCATCTATTGTTTCCTGACTTTTTAATGATCGTTATTCTAACTGGCGAGAGATGATATCTCATTGCGGTTTTGATTTGCATTTATCTATTGACCAGTGATGATGAGTTTTTTTTTCATATGTTTGTTGGTATGGCCCTTTTCATTATTGCTTAAATTCTATTGAAACACAAACTGCACTCTGGGTTAGTTCCATTTAGATGGCAATAGGGAAACAGCTGGGATATGACTAGTCAGTGCTTGATTCATACCACAACCCTAAGAACATAAAGCCCTAAGAAGTTGGCAATAGTTTATAATTGAACACAATTGACTGTATCATAAAGTACAATGTAGTAAGTGCTAAAAGGTAAGTGTACACAAGCAAAACAACAACAACAAAAACAAACAAAAAGTATACAGAAGGAAAAAGACTGTTTCTGTGAAAGCCAGAAAGATTTCAGGGAAGAGGCAGCACTAACATGACCTTAAAGGATGGTCAAAGCAGAGCTGAGGAAGGCATGGGAAGACTAAAACTTTAAAAAGGCAAGAGAGTCCTTCTTCTGAGATGTAGCTTCTCTGGCCGCTTCTCCATTATGGAATCATAAAAGTTCAACTTGTCAGTTGCCATTTACAATCAGCTTCTTGGCTGCATAAGTTACTCAATATGTTTTGCTTGTTTGTTTCTTATGAGACAGAATCTTGCTCTGTCACCCAGGCTGGAGTGCAGTGGCACGATCTTGGCTCACTGCAACCTCCGCCTCACAGGTTCAAGCAATTCTCCTGCCTCCCCAGTAGCTGGGATTGTGTGCCACCATGTCTGGCTAATTTTTGTATTTTTAGTAGAGATGGGGTTTCACCATGTTGGCCAGGCTGGTCTCGAACTCCTAACCTCAGTGATCTGCCTGCCTCAGCCTCCCAAAGTGCTGGGATTACAGGATTGAGCCACCACGCCTGGCCACAATGTGGTTTTTATTTTGGTTTTTTGCTCATATTGGGTTATTTTCTCTCGCTAAACAAGTGTTTTGTGATTAAAATTGTTTGTCAAAAATCGACAGCAATGATAATTTTTTTTTAAAAAAAAAAAAAGCTCTGATGTAAAGTGTGGCTCATGTTTTTTGTAATGACAGGACAGGCTCCATAGCATCAACAGGAGACCCCTGAAACTTTCCTTCCAACTGATCGTAACAGTACTCAAGGGCCACCACTTCCATCAGTTTCAAAGCTCTTTTAATTTACCCATGGTTTCTATCTCACTCTTTCCCTTCAACAGACTTCGGTAATTATAGTCCTATAATTCAACCAATTACACATATTTCTTTACTAATAAATTTGAAGATATTTGAGAATAGGAGGTATCAGTTACAGAAGGTTATAGTCAACAAAAGTTTTATTTCTGTTAATAAAAACAACACATATTTAGAGAATTTGGAAGAAAGAGAAATAAAGATATTAAATCACTAATGTTAATACTTCAATTTTCTTCTTTTTCAGCTAAACCTATGAATATATATTTTAATAAAATCAGGAGAAAATGTAGTTGAGGTATAATTTACAAACCATAAAATATATCAACTGTAAGTATAAAATTCAGTGCTTTTTAATATACAGAATTTTGCAACCGGTGCCATAACTCAGATTTGTTTGTTTGTTTTACATTCTTCGGACCCTAACTATTATTTATACTACATTAAGATCAGTCTTTTTTCTTTTCTTTTCTTTTCTTTTTTTTCTTTTTCTTTTTTTGAGACAGAGTCTCGCTTTGTTGCCCAGGCTGGAGTGTAGTGGCGCGACTCAGCTCACTGCAACCTCTGCCTCCTGGGTTCAAGCAATTCTTCTGTCTCAGCCTCCCGAGTAGCTGGGACTACAAGCAAGCGTATTCATATACAAACGTATGTATATACAACCAAGCGTATTTAACTTAGCATAGTGTTTATGAGGTTCAAACATGTTATCAGTAGTTAGTTCCTTTTTACTTCTGTACAAATATACCATATTTTATTTATCATCTCAACAGTTGATGGACACTTAACTTGTTTCTGGATTTTGGCTATTCTGCATTAATAATACTGGAAACATTTAGGTAAATGTCTTCATGTGGAAGTATGTTTTCATTTCTCTTGGGTAGACAATACCCAGGAGTGAAGTCACTGGGTCATATGGTAATTTAATATTTAACTTTTTAAAAACTGCCAAACTGTTTTCCAACGTGGGTGTACCATAAGCAGATATTCCCAACAGCAATATTTAAGGGTTCCAGTTATTCCATATGCAACACTTGGTATTGTTGTTCTCCTCAATTATAACCGTTATATTGGGTGTGCAGTAATAGCTCACTGTGGTTTCTAATTTTCATGTCGTTTATGATTAACAACTGTGAAAACCATTGCATGGTCTTAGCCATTCATATATTTCTTTGCTCAAATATCTATTCAAATAAATTCCCCATTTAAAAAAATTGTGGGGGTCCTTTCATCGTGGAGTTTTGGACTTCTTTATATATTTTCAATATAAATCCTTTATCCAATATATTGTTTGGAAATATTTTCTACCGATTTGTGACTTGCCTTTTCATTTCTTTAATGGTGTCTTTTTAAGAGGACAATTCCAATTTATCGATTTTCATTTATATATTGTGTTTTTGCTATCATATCTATGAAATCTTTGTGTAATCCAAGGACACAAAATGTTCTACCAGATTTCCTTCCAGAAGTTTAAACTTTTATCTCCTACACTGAGGTCTTGGATCAATTTTGAGTTGACATTTGTGTATGTTATTACATAAGGGTGTATATCTTTTTGCATTTAAATACCCAATTGTCACAGCATCATTTATTGAAAAAGTTATCATTTCTCCATTGAATTGCCTTGCAACTTACTAAAAATCAACTGCCCACAAATGTCAGGGTTCATTTTTGAACTTTCCATTCTATGCCATGAATCAATATGTTTATTTTTACAACAATAACATACGGTCTTGATCTCTGTAGCTTTATACAAAGTTTCTGAAATTGCGTAGTGTAAGTCTTCCTACTTTGTTCATTTTCAAACCTGTTCTGGCAATTCTAGTTCATTACATTTTCATATAATGTAATATATGAAATATAATTGTAGCTCAGATGGCCAATTTCTACAAAAAGCTGGCTAGGATTTTGACAGGTGTGACATTAAATCAACAGAGAAATGTGGGGTGAGGTTTCATCTTAACAATACGGCATCTTCAATCCATAAATGTGGTACCCCTTTTCATTTATTTTAATCTTCCTTTATTTCTTTCCATCAAGATTTTGTAATTTTCAGTACAAAAATTCTAAATATGATTTGTTAGATTACCCCTAGGTATTTCTTTTTTATTGTAAGTATTTAAAGTGATTTTAAGTGGTATTGTATTCTAAATTTGGTTTTCCACATGTTCATTGATAGTATACACAAATATGACTGTGTGTGTGTATGCTGGGAAAATTCTTTTCTATTCAAAGTTTGTTAAGCCTTTAGCATAAATAGGTGTTAGATTTTATAACAAACATTTTTTTACATCTATTGGAATAATAGTGTGATTTTTAAACTTTATTCTATTAACATGGTATTACATTAAACGATTTTGAGATGTCAAACTGAACTTTAGATACACCCCCTTGGTCATGGGTTACATTTTTTTAAAGCAACTTATAGTAGCTATGTTAATTACTAGCATGACAAGACGTTTACAAGTACATTATTAATTCTCATCATTTTTTAACATTAGCCCAGAAATTTTGAATGGAGGAATGTATTATCTTTGAACAAACACCTCACTTAAAAAATCCCAGTGTAAATCGTAACAGCCATTTACTGGCAGGTTTTGTAACACAGGACATTTTATTTGTATCTAGGCCTCAATTTCCTCATCTGTAACTTGGATATATTAAAACCTACATATAACACAAGATTTGGTGAAAATCAAATGAGATAGTATTTTTTAAAGATTGGCAAAGTA